AAGTTACTTCGCTTTTTCAGGGAATTTTGGTAGTCGCTCGCTTGATAACAAAGTTAAAAATCCGAAAGTTTAATGTGTCTGTCAAAAGACTAAGAATAAAAAATAAAAACGTCATCTGTCACTTTTGACAGCCACACCCACGTGTTCTGAAAAAACGTTGATCCATTATTTTTCGCAGAGGTTTCAGTTTTCCATTATTATTATTCCTTGTGACTACTGTTTTTCCTCCTTTTAGATGTGGAAGTGTTGCTCCTACATGAGGCAGCATAGTCGAAGGAGTGTGCCGCCTGGGATCGGAATATCTGCTGCCCAGAAGTTTAGGAAGCAGTCAAGAAGCCGAAGGCAGCCAATGAACCCAGCTGATGTACTTGTCGCTTGTGTAAGCGAGGTTGATCGTGGTTTTAGTTTTTTAATTTATAGCTTAAAAAAAGCAAAATGTCAGAACAAAAACTTTTTTTTATATAACAGAATAACGCGACAAAGGTTCTGTATACCCCACTGGAATGCATTTATATAATTATTATTTAAGTTGTACGACAAAAATAACTACAAATCCGAGCTTATAATAGTTTAATAGCCCTAAGTCAGCACAAAAAATGCTCACACGTGATGAAGATGTTTGTACAGTTTTTTCAACATTTTTTTCTCGTCCCACCCGAAGCGATTAACAGAATGGTCTCTTTAATTACTCACTCTTAATAGACTAGTAAAAAAAAAGGTTACCTTAAGTTTTTTGTACTGCATCGTCGGAACATTTTTTTTGTTTTTGACAGGTCTCTTATAATAATTTTATATGGGCATAGACAAGAATGAGTATTGATTCGAAGGTAATTATCGTTTGACAATCTTTTGACCGCGACCTCGTCTGTGTTTGAAAAAATATTGAAAGTACAGTTACTCTAAAATAAACTTAAACCAAGATATATGTGAATGTAGCCTAGTGCATACATTTCCTGGGATTATAGTTCGCCTATGTGTTTTAGATCCTGTCTCTCAAGACTGTTTTGTCTGTACCTATTTTTATCAATCCATACATCCAAACATTTGTTTGAAAAAGAAATTAAAGTAATTCGTAAGATAGTTAAATGGACAGTTACAATAATAATGTAGTTAATCATACTAATATTATAAATGTAAAAGTTAAGATGGATGGATGGAGATTACTCTTGGTTTTTTATTCCACGCGGATTAGTTGCGCGCGTAATCTTATATCGAAATAATTAAAACAAATTACATACTTTAGATAACTAATTTAAATATTACGATAAACAATATAATTAATTGAAATGCAAATAGTAAAACAATGTTACAGTCCGCTTGTAGTCCAGGTGGGCCGCTGTCAAATAAAAATAGACCTAAAATCAATACACCGCTTAGCAAGATATCACATCTCTAGTGATGTACACGAAATGTACGATCACATTTTGATATCGATAACTCTAGATTAATATTTCTGTGATAACACGATTATAATTATAAAATAAATTAATTTACCATGTTTTTATCATACTAATCTTACTAATATTATAAATCTGAAAGTTTGAATGGATGGATGTATGTTAGAGTTGTGGCATAGATGACTTCTGACCACAAGTACCCATTGGTCACTTAAAAGAAAGTCCCTACATCTGAATAATTTGTATAATCAATTGTTACACCAATAAATGATTTAAAAAAAATATACAGGACAGTCTGGAGAACTTTATTTTGTTTTTATCAATACAAAGCGGTCAGAATTGAGAGAGAGATTCAGATGTTTATACAAATGTACTGTCAAAAATATAGAAGGTCTTGTAAAACTAAAAATGTTAATAGATTCGTTAACTTTATAGTTAAAAGTCTAAATTTAAGAGTACGTTATTTTTATTGGCTGTTTTAATTGTGCCCGCTTATTAAAATTTTCACGTAACGATTTATGAAACAGACCACACAGACAAACGGACAACTAATGTTTTATTTAATGGCATATTAGTTAAGTGTTATGGTTTCTATTATTATGGGTAACTCTTATTACACGTGCACTGTCTTGTCTATTGTTCTTTTACTATTGTTAATATTAAAGCCAATTATTTGGGCCAATAATTAATACTCAGTTTATATCTGTATGTGTATGTAGTTTTAAACAATTTATTTAATCAATACTATCGTTTTTGAACTCAGAGCAACATTTCTCGTCGGGACTCAGGATCGTCGATCAAGTATCCATCCCTCTAATGTACTGACAGCTGTCAGTTAGAGATGTGATGTTCATGCCAATAATCTAGTGTTCCAATTCTATAGCGCGGTACTAATTTTATTCTTAACAGTAGGAAGATACATTACATATCTTAAAGTATTTATAATGGTTTAATAACATAAAGGAATTGAGAACAAATCGTTTTTCCTCATCTAAGTAAGGTAAGCAATTAATTTAATTGCCCGGTCTATCAAGTATCATGCCGTTTACGGTGAGAAAAATTCCTTACAAAATGTTTGATTACATTTTTAAAGATTAATACCCCTAGGATAAGATCTTAAGAAGTAAGCATTATTTGTACGACAAAAGTTGTAATTTTATCGTATCGTTTATCAAAATACTAGCTTCCGCCTGCGACTCAACCCGCGACGAATTAAAAAAGTAAGTAGCCTATGAATTCTTCCCTTCTATCCTCTACATCTGTGCCAAATTTCATCATTTTCAGCAGTTTAGGCTATAAACTGTAACATTTATCCATCTAAACTTTCGCATTTATAATATTAGTAAATAATGTTGATATGTTACTTATCGATATCTAAAACTATTGAAGGAGCATCCCTACACAGGGCTGTCAGCTCACTCTAAGTAATCGCCCATTATCTATATCGATTCAGCTCGCCACTGATTCATGACTCCGAAATCCCGCTCCCACACAACGATACTGTTTGCATTTCAGAGTACAAAGCCGCGTTTATATGCGACAATTTGTAAGCGACGTCTACGTAATGATTAATGGATATCGAACAGGTTACAATAACCGTTGTTTACGAGGAAGTTATGGAGCGATTACACGCTGTTATGTTAGAGTAATAAATGGATAGATTAATTGATTCTGTAGCGTACATTATCTAAGGCTTGACGTTCCGGTTTGATGATAATTTATTATATGCAAATAGCCAGGCTGGAGTGTGCGCGGCGCGCCCGGCGCTGAAACTAGCTCAAGATCTGTCATGGTCAATACAACCTTGTGATTACACTCGAATAGTATTAAAATGGAATTAAATATGAATAATACATATATTACATCATAGTGATTAAAAAAATAGAATATAAATTATGGAGAACTAGCTTTCGCGCGTGACTCCGTCTGCGTGGAATTAAAAAAAAAACAAAAGTGAGTAGCCTATGTGTTCCCCAGAGTATCCTCTACGTCTATGCCAAATTTCACCAAGATCCGTTCAATCGTTTAGGCTATAAACTCTAACAAACATCCATCCATCCATCTAAACTTTCGCATTTTAATATTAAGTAAGGTATGTACATGAAAGTGTCATAAAATTAGTCTTTAACAAACATTAAAATCAGTGACTATAACGATATCATAAATTGGAACAATCAGCTCTTTACAAAAACGCTAAGTATAAATTACCAATTAACACCGAATTCACAAATCGGATGCGACTCAACAATTCGGGAACTCTTTTAAACGCAAATCGTACAACAAACATAGACCCAATATCCATTGTAAAATAGTGTACGGTATAACACCTCTTAATTTCAAAGGAATAAAAGCCATTTGAGCGTGCGCAGACCCGCGTTCTCCTCAATCGCCGAGACAAAGGGAATAAAGGGTTTAAAAATACGGCGGGTCCAATTAATTTGAGACAATTAGCCGCCCTTCCGTAACAAAAGGTAGAAAAACTCCACCCATTAATTACGAGGCAAAGAGGGCTCGCCTATGGTGACCAACAATTACCAAATACGTGGACAGTTTCTGTTATTATTGTAAGTACAACAATTACCAAAGGACTCATACAACCTACACATAACAGTTACAGACATAACAAAACATTATTAGTAGAAAAAAATACGCGACAAAAATACATCTAATTATAATTATGTAGAACATTTTTATTCAAGTATTTATTCTATCTTAATTTTGCACAAAGATATGGTAACCACAGCGTAGAGGGAAGGTGCTCGCGAATTTACCCCTTTTGTTTTTGAAGAGGAATCCGCGTAGACATAGATCTGTTCAGACCACAGAGTAACTAAAATCTTTTAGACAAAACAGCAATCGATTAATCTGAACCTAATAACATTTAGAGCGGGCGCACGTCTTTGACTAAAGAACTGTCGACTGTCGACTGTCGCAGCTAATTCAACTGTTTAGTTGCACTACTGAAAAACTATAAGCTTATAGAAATCAAAGCGAGACATAACAGTTGTGCGATAGTTGTCAGGTGCATGCGCTCTTAATACCTGTAATTCAGTTTTTTCGTTAATAATGATTTCATATTTTAATAAAATTGAGGTTATTTTAATTTTCACATAGCTCTCGACTTTTGTGAGCTCTCTCTTTCAGTAATCTATGACAAACTTGAGGCGGATGATGCTTTACTTAGACGATGTTTTTGCACGGTAACAATACATCCTACATTTTACTATTTAATTCTTACCCAATAAAGACAACAGGACTAATAGTCAATGCAGATTATGTCTGTATTTTTCCATATTCTTACTTAGTACTTCATCATAATTATTATCCCTTCCTTAGCGTATTCTAATAAGTGTTTTACTGCATGTAATAAAAACTATAATATGCATATGGAGTGCCCATTGGTAAACTAATGACATTATCCTGCTGGTTGAGATTGCCGACGCTATCGGCTGTCTATCCAACCACCGCTAATCCCGTCCCTGTCATACCCTTAAAAAGCATGCAACAAAGTGCTTCGCTATCGGCGGACGATTAGGCGTGTTGTACATATCAATTACGCTTGTGACGATAACATTGATAATGATTTCGGCAGTACCGGCCGGACCGTCACCATGTGCGCCTGCAAACATAGAAAGTCATTCCTTATCGAGGACATCCTCAAGGACTCTAAGAAGACTCACAGAAACTTGAGCAATGAACCTAAAGAGCCATTAACTTGTAAGAGTAAATCAGAACCTATAGAAGTGACTAGACTAGCTGAACCAGATATAGAATTGTCAAAAGTGAGCTTAAATGTAGAAGTGAGAAGGAGCACGTATCCATTGTATCCGATGCCGGTGAAGGCAGGACTCCATTGGCCGTATCGAGTGAAAGGCTACTCAGTGGAAACGCGACCTTCGCCTAGCTACTACAGCGAGCCGGCGATGACGGAGCAACTTTTTAGAAGCCAGCTCGCTAGCAGATTGATGACACACCCCTACAGCATACGACACACTTACGGCTTCGATAGAGGTACTTGCTTTTTTCAGTCAGTTTCAGTCGGCAGTGAATCCTTATCATTGTCTGTCATAATTTAAATTATTAGCTCATGTTATGCTTTTTATTGGTGACACTGGATGCAGATAAGATTATTCACTTGTTTACGGAAATGTGTAAATGTTATTTCCATCTGTCACTAATCCGCCTTCATTAACTTCTTGAGGCACGGGAACTCTGAGAATATCATTTTAACAAATGTTATTGAACAATAATTGAATTTATTTATAATTTTTTAAGTGACAATAACAAAACTATACCGGAATTATCAACTGGAATAATTTCAAATAAATCGTATACTAATCCATTACTCGCTTACGAGATAGTGCTATCGAATAAAAATAACAGAAATTACTTTTCGCTATTTACTTAAAAAATAGATAAGGAGATTAGCAAAGTGTAACTAATATTGAACGTTATTTGTATACAATATCAGTGAAATAAAACTGATATGTAATTTAGTTGTTTACAAAACGTATACATCCGTGAAACGAGTTTTTAAATTTTGATTTCAGACGAGCGCATTATTTATACTAACTGTTGCTTGCGACTTCGTCTGCGTAATATCAAGACAATAAAACCAGCCTATGTCACTAATAACGTAGCTTAGTAATGGTGGGAGAGTTTTTGAAATCGGCTCAGTAGTTTTTGAGTTGACAATACAAACAAACATTTCTTTCCTCTTTATAATATTAGTATATATTATGTAAGAATGTATTAATCTTAGTATTCGCATACCGTGCCTTAATCAAGTGTATTACAAAAACCACATGTAACTTAAACGTTATAAAATCAAACACACAAGTAAACAATGACATTTAAAAGCTTTAGATAAGTGCAGTACGTGATTAGCTTCCTTAATCATATCTAAGTAAACTTATAAGCTAAGTGTGTTATCACTTAATCATCGCTATCGTAATAAGTGGCGTTAAGTTAGACGGCAACTAAATCAAATATATCATGACAGCGTTGGATTATAACTGACTAGCTGTATATCTCGACTTCGTCTGCGTTAATTATATGTTTTAGTAGTTATTCAATGTAATGTAGAGAAACAAAAATATACCAAGTGAATAGATGTTTTCAGGACACATTTTGTTAAAATGTTTTGGTTTTTACAAATATAATGTTCGTAAGATACGGGTTTCTAAAGCCCGTGAAGCTGGTGAACATGGCGCATGCAATTGTGCCGAAATATCGGAAGCTAAACTAATCCAAGAGGAGTAAGAAACCCGGATCTTACGAACGTTAGATTTTGTTTTGTTTATACATATAATAAAAAACAAAAAATATATCCCAATTTTTACTATTAGAGATATTTAAATAGAAATAAGTAATAATCAATTCGTTTCCTATTCGTTTTTGTGCCAAAACTTTGGATGATGAAAGCTTATGGTAACAGCTTTGATGATCCGTTATCTATCTATACTAATATAATAAAGCCTAAACACACATTACTTTGTGGCGCAGGATGTCAGCAATCACAGCATATTTTTGAATAATTCCTTCTTTAACAAAAGTTCTACATTTACTACGCTTTAGGCTTTATATTACGCTATTAAGCTTAGGGGTAAATGAATTGGAAAAAACCTTCATGCGGGGAAGGGACCATATTATTATTATAAACTACAATCTGCTAATGTTAAGGAAGCAGGGTTATTATGGTAACGGTCATTTTGGTATTTGCAATTGAGAATTTGACAAATGTAAACAATAAAATAATGTTTTTATAATTTCCTGCGGATGAAGCCGCACGGGAACATAGTCCTTTATATTTGAGTACGAATGACTAACAAATACAGATAGAATAAAATATTAATTTAATGGTTATTGTATGCCATAACATGAACAAGCAATCGTAGATTCATTGATAAGAAAATAAAGTAATTTCAGGTGATACAAGTGCTCGTAATGTTATCAATTGATTACTAGATAACGTATAATGTTGTGAACAACTCACAATTAGGCCAGACCAATGCTCGGTACTGATAATATTTACGATTTAATGGTGATACTAGTTAAATCACGGATTTCTAAGATACATATCTCCTGCAAGGAAAAAATTAAGGTCCCGTTGCTAAGGGTTACGGTTACAGTAAAACATATTTTACTCCTACTAATTTGAAGTATTATTATTCATTAATAATGAAGTATGTCATTATTAAACTGAGCTAAAACATCTATCGATATTTCACTCTACATAACTAGTTAAGCAAGAGTTTACTCTCAAACTTAATTCAATAAACTATTATTGCTCGTATATTTTTGTTGGTCATCATCTTCCTTCTTTATTCTACTCCCGTAGTGGCGCGAGAAGTTTTCGTCCTCCAAAGCACTCTATCAACCGTCATCTCAGTCATCACTCCCTTCTTGATCATGTCACCTTTCACGCAATCCATCCATATCTTTCTAGGTCTACCTCTTTTTTTTTGAAATACTAATATTTCTTGTAACCATTTCGAATGCCTAAGTTAGACTTTCTTCATAGAATCACTAAGATATTCTTTTCACATTATTCGAAACAACGGCTTAAAACCATATGACTATCAATGCATCGGTTACCAGACTTAACCATGTCCCTTGTCTTAGTGGCGCCCGGTTGCTGCAGCCCGTGGTGGGGTGTGGGCGGACGGCGCAAGGGTGGGCAGGTGAGGTTCAGCGCCGCGCAGACAAGCGCCCTCGAGCGTAGGTTTGGAGCCAGCAAGTACCTCAGTCCAGACGAAAGACGGGCCCTCGCGGCGTCACTTAGACTTAGCGATAGACAGGTTAGATTTTTATCAGTTTTGTAATATTTTTTTATAATAGATTTCGCCCGCGACTCCGTCTGCGTGGAATTAATAAAACAACAGTAGCCTATGTGTTCTTCCAAACATTCTCTAAGTCTATGCCAAATTTCTTAGAAATCCGTTCAGCTGTTTGTACTTGTACTACAAACTTTATCAAACATCTATGGGCGCTACTTGCAAATGTACGTATTCGTTAAGTCAACATTTCGATTACCAGTTTTTGATAGCAATATTTGGCGTTTAAATGTAGCAGTATGCGTTAGGAGGCAGTTGGTAGGCTCCTCTATACATTCATGTTACTTAATAATTGCTTATTCACTTTATTTTAAATTAATACCCAGGTGAAAACATGGTTTCAAAACCGGCGCGCTAAGTGGCGTCGTTGCGCGCCGGATGCCGCGGACAGTGGCAGCCCGCCCTCAGCAGAAGACGCCTCCGACGATGACGTCACTATCGCAGATGAAGACTGACACTAGATGGCGCTGACATTCTGACACTTGCCATGACATTGCAAATATGAGGAAAGGACGGACAAGAGATATAAAAGAAATTTTTAACATTGAACATACATTTTTATTTTATTTTAAGTAGGAATAATTCTATATGAACATATGCCTTTATTTCACTAGATTGTTCTGAAAAATATTCAGATGAAAATTTAAACCTTATCTAGTCAACGATATAATAGTTCGAACTTCTGCCACATTTTTATCTACGACATGCGAAAATTATTTGGAAATAATCTTTTAATTATGTATTTATTGGATTTTAAATGTACGTTCAATGATAAGGGTTGCCATTATCTCAGATTAATTGCATTTCAAGCTATGATTGATTATGTGAATGACGTCACAGTATATCTGTTACTTTATCAAAGGAATCCGCGATATCGAGTTTAGATTTTTGGGGATGTACCTAATTGTAAAACACAAGTAAAGAAACATTAAAGGCCGATAATTTATTAATATCCTAGAGATTAGATCTAAAAACAAATTTGTTATCTATATTAATTGTTGATAACCTTAAAATTTTTTTAGTCATCCTTTCTTGTGTATTGTAACCAATAAAAGTAACGTTTACAAATTAAAAAATCTAACGTCACCTTTAATTTCATATCTATCTTATTTAATATTATAAATGTGAAACTTTAGATGTATGTATGTTTGTAGCCTTTACGTCTGAATGGATTTCGATGTTTAGTATAGATGTAGAGGATAGTCTGGAAGAACACATAGGCTACTCACTTTTGTTTCTTTTAATTCCACGCGGACGGTGTCGCGGGCGAAAGCTAGTTACTTTTAAAGAATTACCAAATAAAAAAGTTGATAAATCCAAAATATATTTATTCAATAAAAAACAACCACATTGGTGAAAATTCCAAAAACAAATACAATCGATATGGGACAAATTATGGCTATTTACAACTAACCCTATAAATATGTACTTTATTTATGTTATTTCCTACGCCATTTTTGATATCTTTTGAGACATCAGTAACTATTTCCAATAATTATACAATTGACTCTTACGTTCTAATAAAGATGGCGGCAATTAAAAATATAAATTGACATTTTTTTGTGCTAAAAGAGGCAAATGTTACTCATTCAGCCACTTACTAAATTTTGTTTATTTTAAAACGAAAATTAATATTGTTTATTAAAACACTCAAAAACATGGTTTTAATATATATTTGTTTTTAAATTATTTAAAATTTCGTGAGACATTTTATAATAAATTATTGTATGGCTTTCTCGTCGCCAAAAAGTATGACGTAAGCCGTAAAATAATTAGTTATATTTGTTTTGCAAATAAAACATCTGAAAACCCTTATCCAAATAATATTACCAAAAGAAAACTATTGTGTCAAAAATGTTTTTTTTTTAAATAAAGAGAGCAAATTCAAGTTGATCTAAATTTTGTTGATTTCTCTTAAATATTACATTTTAATATCTACATAAACACATAAATAAGAGTATTAAATTACCAGTTATTGATAATGTTTATAAAAATGGTTGGAAATTATTCAATAAAAAAGTCATGAACATAGAATAAAAATTGTACAATTTAATGGCAGTAGAATAAAATTTGCTTCGGATAATAATAATTCATAAACTCAACTCCACATATTTATTATATTGAAAACCTTATTTTTAAAGGTTTCAAAATTAATTTTCTATAGACAAACTGTTACGAACAAGACTAAATCTTCTCATATACAATGTTTTTTCGTTATTTTATTTACAGATGTTCTTTTTTAGGCCATTTGATGATGAATACTCAAAAATCAAACATATGATTAATAACCCTACATCAGCTGACTGTAAATTTAAAAGTAGTATACAGTTTTATAAAGTCTATATTAATATAGAGGAAAGGTTTTTTTTTGCATTAAGTATACGCAAACTAAGAGCGTCGGTGGCTCAGTGGTTTAAGCACTTGACTTGTAATCTACAGGTCTTGGGTTCGAATCCCGCCGCCATGTACCAATTGATTTTCGATTTTTCGAATTTTCATATGTACATAATTTACCCGACTTTCTTACGGTGAAGGAAAACATCGTGATGTAACCTGCACATATCGGTGAAGAAATTCAAAGATATGTGTGAAGTCAACCAACCCGCACTTGGCCAGCGTGGTTGACTATGGCCTAGTCACTCTAACTTTAGGGTAGGCTCCGAGCCCCTCGGTGGGGACATATAGTGAGCTGGTAATGATGATGATACGCAAACTGAAGAATTGATTTTAAAAAATAACTATCAGAAATTCACATTATGAGTGAGAAACATTGGCTATATGAGACATCAACGGGAAGGGTAAAGATATGACAGAAAAGATATGGAACTTATCTTTGTTGTTTTATCAAAATTGCGAATTGCTAGTCAAATAAAATGATGAAATTCACAAATGAATTGCAACATAAAAAACACTACTTTTTGCCTGCGACTTCGTCTGTGTGAATTTAAAAAAATAATAAAAACATAACCTATGTTACTCATTGATAACAGCGTTTTAAGGAAATAATTAGTATCTAATATTTGACAGTAGTTTTTGAATTATTTTAATACATACAAATATAAATCTTTTCCCTTTATATTAGTATAGATGTTAGTGAATTATGAATCAACAATTTGTCCATATAAAAATTCAACAAATATCAACAATAGATAAATGAAAGAAACAGTATAGTTTAATCAGATTTCCGCAGCGCCCCCCGCGCCCCCCGCGCCCCCCGCGCGCGCCACGCCTGCAGCAGCGCCCTGCTAAAGTACAACTGGAAGAAATGGACTTGAGACGCTAGAAATATAAATGCATACCACAGCAAGCCGTACGGGTAGCCCTGGAAAAAACATACCCTCTGTAATATAAAAAACCTATGCAATACTCGAGTCTGCGTGGAATTAAAAAAACTTAAGTAAGTAGCCTATGTGTTCTTCCAGACTGACCTCTACTTCTATGACAAATTGCATCAAATTCTAACAAACATCCATCCATCTGGATCTGGATGGATGGAATTTATAACCTAAACTACTGAACAGGTCTTGATGAAATTTGGAATAAACGTAGAGGATAGTCTTAAAGAATACATAGGCTACTTTTGTTTTTTTAATACCACGCGGATGGAGTCGCGGGAGAAAGTTAGTATGGATAAATTTTATTATTGATTACGACATATAAATACTAGTATATTGTAATTTTTCTATCAGAAAATTTGAAAAACCTACATAGAAACCAGTATTATAGGCACTTAACCATGATAATTTACTTTCACTTATAACTTAATCAAATAATTATCGGCATAACATTGAAAAAATTTATGAAAAAATCGAAAATAAAATTATTGTAAAACAGTGACATCTATTACAATATTTTGGAAACAAAACTGCTATTCTAAACAATGCTGCTGCCAGTTTTATGCTATTATTAAACATAGATGGCGCTAATATATTTGCAAGTTCCACTTATTTGATAAAAAAACGTAAAATAGTCCTCTAATTTAATTTTAAATTTATTCTTATTAAAAAAAGTCTTGCAAGATATCCAATACTTTTTAAAACTGTAGTCAGTTAACATTAATAAAAGTTAATTACAAATAAACAATTTGTTACAAATATTGCGGAAAAAGGAACTGTTACAAAGTTTGTACTAACCTGCCACAATTCTATATCCATTTCTGAAGTATCTTCATCCTCATCTTTAGTCAAATATCTCCAGACATCTCCGCAGTAGTACACAAGGCCATACAACAGAGGCCCAAAGCCCAAGATCACTATCCCATACATATATCTTCGTAAATTCTGAATATTGTTTCGTTTTATAGACGCCAAGCCAAGGAAAGTAAGGAGCAGAGACAAACACCAGATGTACTCCCAACAGAGGGGCTGTGGAACATATTCAGATATTTAAGTAAATTTTGAAGTTATTGAAAACTTTGAGGTTTTGCGATTGAAAAACATGATCTTACTAATATTATAAATGCGAAAAATTTATATGGATGGATGTTTGTTATTAAATATCTCTTGGCTCAACAGATATTGTTGAAATTTGGTGTAAAAGTGGGAGATAGTCTGGAAGAACACATAGTCTACTAATCAAATTTTTATAATTGTGCATGTCAAGTCATGGGCAACAGCTAGTGTCTTATAGATCAATGAACAAAAGCAGTATGAATGAAAAAGCATTATTAATTGTAAAAGTTGATCTGAATCAAGTGTGCAATTCCATGAACGAGCAATGAAGACACAAGGCCTAAGTGTTCATTTTGTGACATTTCACATAACATGATTGTCTACAAGCCAACTTTACAGACAACCAATTATTTCACAAAATATTAAATTAATATGTGTAATTTTTAAGTGTCAAGAAAGACTTATATTATTTAAAGTAATAAATATATTCCGCACCGATGGAATCTGCAACTCTTCAATTTCCAATATGAATATATCAAGTTTGTCCAGAATGTCAGCAGAGAGCTTCGCCACCATCACAATAAACAACACATGTTGGAAGAACATGCAGTATTTAAGTCGAGATTTATTCAGTGCACTGGAAATAGAAAATTTAAAATAAATGAAACAAACTGAACAAAGAGAGCGCCTTTAATTTGAAATCATTTACAAATTTAATAGTTTTAAAGCAATTAATTAGTATAAAGTGAATTACTAATTCGCTTATTTAAACTACTGGCGCGAAAGGTCCCACCTTTCGCTTAAGTCTAAAAATACTTTGACGGAACTCTGAATGCGATGTCGTTGTCACATTACCACAGCACCGAGTATTTCTATAGCAGCTCGGACTACATATAAATAATTCTAATGCTCACCTTAATTGATACTGTATCGCTATTTTTTCCCGATGTTCGAAATCGGCTCCGTTCGTTCCTGTTACCATTACACCACCGCGAGATGCCATATTTTATCGTAAACGCACTAAACGTTTAATACAAAAATAAACTCGAAGATGTTATGATAAACACAAGTTACTTCATTCATACACCTCAATAATTCATAATAATTTCGATCAATACATCATTATATTACATCTGCCAAACGAAATTGAATCGAGCTGGCAAAATGTCAGCTAAATGTTGCCGGTACAAAAACCTAATTTGCCAAATGTTTGAACTTTTAAATTATAGAAGCGAAAATGGAAACCGCAAAGTTCACCAAAAATGATTTGGTAATTTAAAAATGTTATATCTACCTATCTAGGTTTCCAAAAAAATTAATTACGTTGCTGGACAGATAAGATTATCTCTATTAACTGCGGAAACCCGCTTTTAATTCGGAAACCTAATATTTCATTATGACCTTTGGCTCTGCAAAGTTATTACGAGTTTTGACATAATTGGAAAGTAGTGATTTTATTTCTTTCTTCCCTTCCAAAACAGGGTAATATTTATGACATGGCAACATTAATTTCGGAACGACAGAATGCCAACGTCACGAAATTGACGCGTTCAAGCTTCGTTCAAAAATGTGCTATTGCTGTCAAATAAAAAGATAACATTCTCCAAAGTTATTCTAGACTGGTTTTAATTTTATTTACTTCAGTGCAATTTTGTATTGAGAAAAATTACCTAACAACAAAATATTCATTTTTAGGAGAAAGATATTCAAGAGTAAAAATAATGTCCAAGGTTCATTTTCAGCACGTTTCACCAACGCTTAGCCAGTAATGTACTATGACCTCCAAACCTCATAACATATTTAAATCATCATCATCAGCCTTTATTTGCCCTTTGTTGGCCACAGATCTCTTCGAATGCCTTGTTATCTTTAGGTAACATATTATTTCATAGTTTTGTGCTTTCATTAAAATAAAGTTCTTTCTACGATTGGCCTTTCTGACCTCCTGAAGCTATGAAAAATTGAATAGAAGAGTTAATTCATTATTAGAAAAAAAATACAAAATGCATAACGAGATATAAAAAACGTAGGCGTCTGTAGGCGAACATAGAGTGGAAAATACCTATGCACGCTTATATTGAGTTTTGACTACACACAAAAGCATAAACACATTAAAGTTTTTGTTAAAGAATTTGGAATGAAAGAAATATAACATTGTGTAAGGTTTTTTGACTATTACAGGTAAACCTTTCCTAGAAAAAAAGCCCTGGTTATAAACAAGAGCTCTCTTACTTAGCCAGAGTCCAGAGTACTTGTAATCTTTGGAAAATATGCACAGAAGTTAATAAGTGTGTTAATTAAAATCAAGTTCATTTTTATTTCTTTTAATCTCCTACGTCAAATATACACGTTCTTTGTTGTCATAAAAGTGCAAAAAGAAACATAAATCGTTACGAAATGAGAAATGCGTAATTTTTCCATTTGCTAATGAATTTGTTACGGGGTTAATGTTTTTAATTGTTTTCTCGTTCACAATTAGACGTTTTCCGGTTGATGTAATTTTATGCATTTAAACCATCATAAATTGATTACTTCCTAAATTTTTTCGTTTAACATGACTTTGAAAACATAAGATGAAACTTACAAATTTAGAAAATGGAAAGAAAAAAGCCGTGTACTATGGAAAAAAAAATCACAAATTTTTCTTTTTGAACCCTTTCAAAATACCACGAGTTTCATCGAACGCCTGTAGCAAATAATTCTCTTTATATAGCACATCTTCTTTAACTTGTGGGTTAATTTTATTTCCTGCTATAGTAAGGTTTAATCGAACAGAGTTACATTACAGCCTGAATGGCTCATAGACAACTTTATTTTTTTCTAGCAGACATAATTTAAAGCGACGGCTAGTTAAGTTACAATTGTCCCGTAATGTAATGTAAAAATTGACTTCTTTTTCGAGAAAATATCATTAGTGATCGAAGTTCTTATAAAATATTTATTGTAAATAATATAATTAAAGTATGAACACATACGTGTAAGTAGAACAATATTGGCTGGTAATTTTTCACGGTGCACTCGTAATGGCCGTGTCGAATACATTAGTTATAATTACTACAATACTACGCATTATTGAATGTTGTATAACAAGAATTTAAAACCCATGTTAACATTTAAAAATACAATATCCTTTTAATTGAATTTTTTATACATTTACAACAATCCTAATTGACAAATATGGGCTAGTATTTGAGACTGTAGGGTTCATAAAGTTTTCATATCTGGGAATAGTTTGAAGCTTGGGAAAATTATATCAAAAAGTAGAAGATAGAATAGACAATGAAAAATGTATGAGCAAAATCCTATCTCCGCCTGGATGTCATTACAAGGGGGACACTATGGTTTTAAGGGACGTACAATGAAACAGGAGTGGCTTTATGGTTTTTATTATTCCTGAAAAAAAAAATCAAAATGAGACTATGACGTCACAATAAATATTCTGCGCTTACTCGTGGCGCGACAAATTTAAAACAAGCTGTAGAACGATAACGATTTTAATTGTTTCAGCGGTAGCGATGTTTTATAAACAGGCGCCATTATCGATTGTGGTTCAGAAATTGTTTTGATACGTCTTCCGGTGCTCGGTCATAAAAGACCGCGGTCCGAGCGCAAACTTTTATTGTCTGTTATCCCGCGGAAACCATTCAGTGCAGAAATATGAAGTTGTTTGTGGTCATCGCTTTATTCGCCTTTGTCGCTGTACAGGTAATTTTTAAATAATCAAATTTCTATAGTTTTTTTAAGATATAATATCTTGTATATAGATTAAATTTATAATATGGCTATTTTAAAGTTCTTATTTTGCAGACCAAATTACATTCTTCTATACTTTGTGTTCATAAATTAAATTCAAATTCTCATTTAGAATTTTTAGTATCGATTAAAATTAAAACAGCGTGTCCATAATTTATGAGGTGGAATTTAAAAGTTTTGCCACAAGTAACGTATTGTTTTATTTGTTAATGTTGGCAACAGTTGAGCAATTCGGCGCCAACGCCAGATGATGACAAGAAAGAAGTGGCGGGACCCGTGGCCGTGCCCCAGCCCGCAGAGCCCGCGCCTCCCGCGCCTGAGGTAAGTTTTGCGGACAAATAATGAAACTAGTATCTTTACGGTGATATTTTTAATTTCTTTGGAGTGAAAATAACTTTTGGTCATTTGGCCGTGTTACGTAAATCTTTTATAAAAGTAATATTTTATTTTTAGATTTTTAGTTTCAAATGAAAAGGGGTCAATAGTCAATGTTCAAAATAAACACCAATTTCATCATCAATTCCTATTGACATCCATATAGTAAAGAAACGATGACTGAAGTCCGATAAGCGGCTAAATTTATATGAATTAAAACTTAACCTTTTGTGTACATGTGTTTATTTTTATTAGAAATTAAACATAAAAAGTTTTATAGGTGAAATCAGCAGCACCGGAGCCTGCGCCCTCACCGAGCCCGGAGACGGCGGCGGCGGAGGAGAAGAAGCCCTAAGCTACACGCACACACGCGGACAAGTCACA